AAACTTAACTGCGCGCCTCATTATTGTTGTTTGCGTTATTAATACCAACAATTAATCATAAGAACATAAATTTTGTGTTCAAATATTTAATTCACTTAAAATATCTTCAAAACTTTATTAACTTTATAACTAAAATAAAAATATTCGTTTTTGTTTTTGTTTTTGTTTTTTACACGAAACTAATTATTATTCAACTTATCTCTAATTAAGAAAAAAACTGAAACAATAATATGTAATCTCTAAGAAGTATTTAATCCTGTTTTTCTATTTTTTTTCTCCTATTTATACATCATATAAATTGCTTTTATGAGGGTGAAAAAGTATAATATTGTTCTCTGATAAGATGGCTGTCCATGGGCAGCAAAACGGCTTCTTACAAAGATTAGAATATGTAAAAGCGGACGGTTGTAGGGATGTTCGCGCTCCGTTTCCAGCAAAATTGCTGCCAGATCTGAACAATCTAAGCACTGTGGAAATTACCGGCTGTGAATCATTGGAAGAGGTATTTGAATTGGATGAGGCCGATGAAGGAAGCAGTGAGGAGAAGGAGCTGCTGTCATCTTTAACAACGTTAGGGCTGCGCCGGTTACCTGAGCTGAAATGCATATGGAAGGGGCCCACCAGACATGTCAGCCTCCAAAATCTTGCTCGTCTGGATTTGGATTCTCTCGACAAACTGACATTTATCTTCACACCGTCCCTCGCTCGAAGTCTGCCAAAGCTGGAAACCCTTGACATAAGAGATTGCGGTGAATTGAAGCATGTTATCAGAGAAGAGGATGGTGAAAGGGAAATAATTACAGAGTCTCCTTGCTTCCCACAATTAAAAAATATCACCATAGAAAAGTGTGGTAAACTGGAATATGTCTTCCCTGTATCTGTGTCTCCAAGCCTTCTGAACCTGGAAGAGATGCGGATTCATAAAGCTCATAATGTAAAGCATATATTTTACAGTGTAGAAGGAGATGCACTCACCACAGATGGCATCATCAAGTTCCCTCGACTAAGGGAATTGGATCTTTCTTTCAGATCAAATTGCAGCTTCTTTGTTCCAAATAATTTTGCTGCCCAATTGCCTTCCTTGCAAACTCTACAAATCAATGGCCACAAAGAAGTGGGAAGTTTGAGTGCACAGCTCCAAGTACGTCCTTTATATTTCTCCAATAATTTTTGTTCCTTTTTAATTGAAATTGTCAACTTCAATACATGTTGATTTCTTCCATTAAATTTCTGAAACTGGAGTAATGGATAAATCATTTAGCCATCCACTAAATTGAAAAGGAGTTGTCTAACTGTATCATTCCCTGTCTCGTGATGAAATTAATTATTGTAATGAAAAGATATCCAGATTTTTCAATCTTTACGCTTTCCAAGTTTGAGTGAAATTGAGGCTCTTCTGATTTCATATCCCTTTGTTGATAAGTTTTTGGCTGAAGTTTTATATGGACAATTCCAAAGTGCACAAAATTTGTGAGGAATTATATCTAACAAATTTCTTTTGATGCAGGGGTTGACAAAGTTGAAAACATTACGCTTGCAACATGTGCCTGACACGAGGTGTATATGGAAGGGTACTTTGGAGGTAATCTATGCCTGACACGAGGTGTATATACTACGAGGGTTGATAAAAATTAGTCAAGTTTGTCCACTAAAACAACTTTGCACAGAATAAAATTAGACCAAAGTACATCAAGTAACTTCACAAAAAATATTATTAATATATAAGAGCATAAATTTTGTGTTGAAAATTTTGAAGTCAATTAAAATACCTTTAAACATTTATTAACTAAAATAAAAATCTTACTTAGTATTTTTATTTTTTACATGAAACTAATAATTAGGAGTTTATTAACCTTTTTTGCACAAAAATCTAATTGTTATTCAACTTATCTCTAATTAAGAAAAAAACTAAAACAATAATATGTAATCTCTAAAAAGCATTTAATCCTGTTGTTGGCTATTTCTTTCTCCTATTTATACATCATATAAATTGTTTTTATGAGAGTGAAAAAATATAATATTGTTCGTTCAGCAGATGGCCGCCCATGGGCAGCAAAACGGCTCCTTGCAAAGATTAAAATTTGTACTCGTGGAGGATTGTGGGGATATTCGCGCTCCGTTTCCAGCAAAATTGCTGCCAGATCTGAACAATCTAAGGAAGGTGGAAATTAAGGACTGCAAATCATTGGAAGAGGTATTTGAATTAGGTGACCTGCCTGGTGAAGGAAGCAGTGAGGAGAAGGAGATGCCGCTGCTGTCATCTTTAACAACGTTAGAGCTGCGCCGGTTACCTGAGCTGAAATGCATATGGAAGGGGCCCACCAGACATGTCAGCCTCCAAAATCTTGCTCGTCTGGATTTGTATTCTCTCGACAAACTGACATTTATCTTCACACCGTCCCTCGCTCAAAGTCTGTCAAAGCTGGAAAGCCTTCGCATAAGTGCATGCGGTGAATTGAAGCATATTATCAGAGAAGAGGATGGTGAAAGGGAAATAATTCCAGTGTCTCCTGGGCTGGATGATCAAGCTTCACCTATCAACGTTGAGAAGGAGATAGTGCTTCCTAATCTAAAGGAGTTGTGGCTAGGACAATTATCAAGTATTGTCTGTTTTAGTTTCGGATGGTGTGATTATTTCGTATTCCCTCGTTTGGAGAAGTTGAAGGTCCGTCAATGTCCAAAGATGACCACAAAATTTGCTACTACACCAGATGGTTCAATGAGTGCTCAATCAGACGTGGTGCTGATTTGACTTGATTTCTTGCCTCTCTTTTAGTGTGTTTGTTTCTTGTTTGGCTCAATAATAAGATTTACAAGTTAAAATGAGCATGCCATGCTTGAATTGGTTTACAGGTATCTGAAGTAGCTGAATATTCAAGCAATTATAGAAAGTGGACCAGAAATAATGGGTGGAAAGAAGAAGAAGATGATGATGATGATGTTGGGTCAGAAGAGGAAGAGGAAGAGGAATATGGTGATGATGATGATTGCTAGTCTAATAATTCTTTCTCGCCCAAACCAGGTGATATACCTGCAATTATTTATCCTCTCCTATACCCTCAAATTTTAATGGTTGAATTAAATCATGGATGGTCTTTGTTCTTCATGTTTGCATCAGGCAAGGGTGGTTAGCTGTTACATGATTTCAAGGTTGGTGCTGCGAATATGTTCTAGATTGGTGGGAAGTAATTAATTCCAACTGTTTCATTGGCAATGGGATACAAAATGGCTTCACATTGTAACAGTCTTATTTACCATAGAAGATTTCGACTTATCTATCTATGTGTTTGCTGAAGAAGTTAGAAGTAATGTAATGTTGTGTGTTTAGTCTTATTATCTATGTGTTTGCTGAAGAAGTCTTATATCTGCGGATGTTTGCTTGATGCTGAACTCTTTGTTTGATGTTCTGTTTCTAATGCATAATGCATTATTAAAACTGTTATTTTATGAGCATCTGAATATGTTTGGGCATTCAAATCTCCAGCTGACTGAGACTATATTGTTGCTTGCCCATTATCGTACAAGCCTCTAGAAGTAAGGGCGGATGTTTGCTTGATGCTGAACTCTTTGTTTGATGTTGTTTCTAATGCATAATGCATTATTAAAAATGTTATTTTATGGGCATCTGAATATGTTTGGGCATTCAAATCTCAAGATGACTGAGACTTGATGCTGAACTCTTTGTTCAAAAGTGTGATACTGATATCATGTTTTCCTAGCAGAGCAATCTTATGTTGAATGGTCTTTTCGAGCAGATACCTTGCTGGCTTTCGCTAATTTTCTCTTTTCTTTGTAATTTTTTGATGAATTTCTCTTTTTTTTTCTCAACCTCAGGAATTAAAATACAACTAAAATAAAGTTTTGTATCAAAAAGTTTCATTACCAAAAAGAAGATTTATCAAAATTACAAGCCATGGAGGCGTAGACACAATTTGTCTTTTTAAGGCCTCCTTTTTTATTTTATTTTCATGTTTCAATTTTTATTTTTTCTCAAACAATATAATCGATTTATTTTTCATAAAGTTGAGCACCAAACCAATGGTGCGCTTTTTATTTAGTTCTACATGCTCATATAAAATTAACTTTAAATTCTAATTAACACAATATTGAAAAATTAATTTAAAAAAAAAAGTAGATGATCAAAAGCAAAAAAAAAAGAAGGCAAAGTTGACACCATATTTTTTAAAAAAAATTGATTTTTTATTTGTTTCAATTTTGATCTTTTCATTTTCAATTTCTTACAAACAATAATTTTTTTTTGTGTGAAATTGAGCATTGTTCTAATATTATGATGTTTTATTGAGAGCAAGATAACTATAAAAAAAACAAATAAAAATACATTACCCATCTCAAATCTTAATCAATTTATCATCAAAGATCACTGAACTAAAAAAAAAAAGTAAACATTATGTGAATTCACAATATTTCCTCTCGGGGATTTTAGCCAATTTCTTTTAGGTTTCTATTAATTAATTTATTTATTTATTTATTTATTTATTTTTATAATGAATAGGTAAGTTATATTTAACTAATAATTTAGCACATTGTTGCCTACATCCATATATATTAAAAAGACACTCATTATAGTCATATTAGTAGGTTAATCAATTATCGTCAAAGATCACTAAATAAAAAAAGGATAAAAAAAACAAAGTAAATATTGTGTGAATTTACAATATTTCCTCTTGAGGACTATATTGTTTTAGCCAATTTTTTTAGGTTTCTATTAATATATTTATTTATTTTTATAATAAATAGGTAAGTTATATCTAACTAATAATATAACACATTGCTATCTACATCCACATATACTAAAAATAACAAAAAAAAAAACCGTAATCATAAATACAAAAAACAATATTAACATGTTTATTTAACTTGCTTCACTATGGATCATATAATATTTTCCAACACAAAAGAATGGATGTATAAGTGTTGTTAATGTATTTTTGATTTCAAGAGAAAAAAAATAGAATTACGTATAAAATAAGTTGATGTTTACATATAATAAAAATAAAGTAAGGACCATAAGTGTTCATAAATATAAAAAATAGTTGTTAATGCATCATGCCACATATAAGATCTTAAGTTAATTTTTAATGTAGTAGAAAAATGGGACATTGTTTTAAGTGCATTTTCTTATGTTACAATTCTCTTAATTGAGAAATGTAAAAAAACAAATCTTACAAAAATATGAACTAATAAACTAATAAAGAGTTGTTAATGCCAATCAAATTATAAAATAAAATGATAATCATTTTCATAAAAGTAAAAGATACATAAATATGATACTTAACCTTAACTTTCATTTTTATTCACACTTTTCTCCTTCTTTTTTTTTTATCTTAAAGGTCACTTTTTCTTACCAAGAACAAAAAAAAATTATTTTTATAAACATGTAATGAAAATAAGGTTTATTCATATAAAATATAAAAAAAACATATAGATGAATTGGAATAATTTTTTCTAGATATTAAATACATAAAAGATAAGTAAAAGATATCCACTATTTAGAAAAAACTAAATAAACAATCAAAATATTTAGAGAGAAAAAGCATTAATTTAAATATAAATTCAAAAATTCATTAAAAATACATAAAAAAATATCAATTAAAAAAACAAAATTAGAAAAAAAAATGAAATAGATCAAGTGCTTTTAGATTTAGTAAGCCAGGCCTACACATCAAGTCCATTTTAAAAAGGGTTGGTTCGGCCTTTTTTATTTGATAATACTCCAAATGTTTTTGAAAACAATAAAAAAAAAAAAAGCAACATGTAACCTACCGAGACTTTCCCATTCTTGACCATTGGAGAGGTGATTAGAAAATTAAACAAGGTGGTTTTTGACCTAAAAATGCAAATTTAAACAAAGTTCACGCCAAAACACTCTAAAAATGGTATTTATAATGTAATAAACCACTAAAACAGCCTAAAAACCATAAATTTTTTGACAATTTCAAGAGAGAAAAAACATTTCAATGGAATTCTCTTCATCAAATGAAACTCATTAAAACAAAAATTAATTATTTTTCATGAAGAAAATCAGTGTCAACTGAGACTTGAAACCCCGGGTAATATTATTGATATTAATAAAAGTCAAAATTACAAAAAATAAGGAAAAGTGATAAATTAAATTATAAAAATAATGATATATTCGAGAATTTGAATTGAAATGTTTTGTTTGGTTGTTAAAATATATATATATATATAAATAAATAAATAAACATGAAAATATGAATAAATTTTTTATGAAAATGGATTTCATGAAGCTGAAAGTACTACAGAATAATTAGGTGAAATTTAAAATAATTTGAATGAAATTTGATATAAATAGACAGGATTCATAAAATTTTACCTAAAAATCATAAAATTTACTATTGAGAAATATAAAAGATATTTTTAAAAAGTTAAGTAATTATATGTGTATACGGGGAAAGAAAAAATTGAGGGACGTGAAAGGTATTTAAAAAAGAAGAGTTAATTTTATATATATATATATATATACACACACACACTGCAAGTGAGTATGTGTTGTAAGGAAACAAAAGATAAAAACAAACTTGTTTTTTCAAAGAGAAGGGGAAGCATTCGGCCAAGAGAGGAAAAACAAATTTAAGTAAGGAAAATTTATCAATCTAAAAGTGTTAAAGCTTTGGCTATTGCTTGGTAAAATGTTCTCAAACTTTTAAATAAGATTCTTGAAGAATTTATACTTTAAATTGATTGAACTTTGTGAAATGAGAAATTAGGGTTCATGATAAATTTTAGAGAAAATTACAATTAATTGTGAAATTGTGTTAAGATTATTAAAGTGAGTAGATAAAGTAAGAAATTATGGTAATTAAAGCAAAATTTTAGGTGTTCTTGAAGAAGGGATTTTTTGGAAAAATAATAATAAGAAAAATAAAAATTTTAAGAGTTTTGATAAGATGATGAGATTGTGTAAGAAAGAGATGATATTAATGTTAAAGAGTGAATAGATCATGAAATTTTTTTATGTTTTTCTTTGATTTAAATTACGGTAAAAATTAAATAAATAAATTTAAAGAATATATATATATTGATTTGAATGATGAAATGAATTGTGTTACAATATGAAAATTGGAAAAATAGGAAGGAAATTTACAAAATGATTTTATTTTGGCAAATAAAAGGATAATTTAAATGATTTTATTTACTGAGTATTTCAATATAGAAAGTAGAATAATAATGTGATATACTTGTCAATTCAAGAGAGGCTGTCAGATCGACACTACAGCAAGAAATTTTAACTTGAGCTTAGTCATCAGGTAATTACACGGTACTTGAATTTATTATTCATCAATATGTATTTTTATTTGATTAATTGTGGTTGATAAATATGAAATTATTATATTTTTTACTCCAGAAAATAAGATATGCGACGTGATGAATTAATTCTTTAACTAATGAAATTAATGCCCTGGTAAATGGGCGTGATAAGAAATTAATTCCCTAGTTAATGGGATTAGAACCCTGGTGAATGAGCAAATCGTTGAACTAATTCCTGAATTAATGGGATTAATATCCTGGTTAATGGGATTAGTACCTTGGTGAATGGATAAATTATTGAACTAATTCATGATTTAATGGAATTAGTGTCCTGGCAAATGGGCAAGATAAAGAATTAATTTTCCTGATTAATAAGATTTGTACCTATTGAATGGATGAAACGTTAAACTAATTTTTGGATTGATGAAAATGGTATTTGTTGAATGGACTGGTGAAAAATTAATCATATATTAGTAAAAGTAATGTTGAGTTAATTGAGCAATAAGAATAATTATATTTTTGGTTGATATTAAAAAACAAAACTTATAGATTATTCTGAAATTTAACACACACACACACACACACACATACTCACTAGAAGAGCAAGTTAATTTAATGATCTTTTGACTAAATTTAAAAAAAAAAATAGAATGAATTTTATGGATATCTTTTTCTTACCTGTCTAATTGAATTATTGTATTAAATAAATTTTCAGGTACATCTCCCTATCGAGCTGAACAGTATATTAGTTTTCTTATATTTTGTTGGGTATCATTTTGTTATGTAATATAAAGCGTTAATAGTTTATCGAAAGTCCTTTTGTGTAGTATAATCTTAATTATGAATTTCTTCTTTAATTATATATTTATTTGGATTATAATTTCGTTAATGGCCCTTATTTGTAAATATTTGAATTGTGTAATGTACTTCAATTATAATTTGTAGAATAATTCTTTGGATTGCATCTATGTAAATGTGGGATATTGAATTATTTAGACATGTGTGAATTTAATCACTGAGAAGTTGTGATGTAATGAGAGGAGAAAGTTCTAGATGATAGGATGAGTAAGAAATTTAATACTTAAGGATTGCAGATGAAAAATCGATAACTTCGTATCTAAAAATATAAAAAAAACTTTGCTGAATTTTTTATTGATTACAAAATAAATTCTTTAATCTTATTTGAATCATCATGTCCTTGTTTTTTGTTTTGAATATAAATATTGAGGTTGTCGGAGAGATTTTCTCTAACATTGTAATCCAATGACTTTTTGTTTCCTCTATCAAATTAGAGAATGAGAAAATAGAAAAAATGAAGTTGTGGATAAAAAATAAAATGAATTTTTGACTTCAATCTTGAAATTACCACCTTTTTTATGCTATTTTTTTCACTTTGGTTATCTATATTTAAATTTTGCTTTTCTCCAACAAATTTACTTAATTGTCTATCAATTTAAGCTTATAATACCAGTGAATAGTGATGTGAGAGTAATATTTTACCCATGTGTCTTTTTTAAAGATTCTTATAATTAATAAGAATATCTTCAAAAATAGAATCACAGGCTGTAGAGTTCTCATCATAACCAAGAAACTTATGGCAGCCTCACACACACAGAATCTGATAACTTTATGATAGAATTACAAATAACTAAATATTTATCAGTTGGACATCATCCATGATAGTATTATCCAGCTATAAATCGGTTCCAAATCTAAGCTCAAATCTCACTGGCTTGCTCTAGATTTCTCCTTAGATTATGTTATTCTTCACCAACCAAGATTATGTTCCAAATCTGATATTACCCAATTTTTGTCCACCTTTGAAATTATTTTCTTTCTTTCTTCAGAGAACATTTCCAAAATCTAGGGAGGCCACTTTTTTCATCTTATTTCTCTCATAGAACTTCTCTCCATAGCCGTCAAATCATTAAGCACCACATATACCACCAAAAGTTTGTCCACCAAGACGCTCACTCTATCATGGCGCATTGTAATATGGGTGATTTCACATACTTGCCACTGTATCACTGCTCACCAATGGTGGCCCAACAACTGTTCCTCGGTATCTGCATCTCTCCAAGACAACAACATAAAATATTTCTGACTAGATTTTCTGGGTGCTCTTTGTTTTTCTTTTTTCACTTCAAAGGAGAAAAAACAATTAACAAACAGAGTTCGTGAGGGGAGGCTGGCTTGCTTCCTTGCTTCCTAGCTTCTTTCTTGCTTTGTAAAAACACCCTTTTAAAAGTTTTTATTTTCTTGGTTTCTTAGCACCCCTTTCATGGCATTTTCACAGAGGGTTCAGTGCTTTTTCTCAAGTCCAAATAACTAAAATTTGAGTCTTTTTGTTGCTGTTGTTGTTTTAACTTATTAACTAATAGGGTTTCTTCTTCTAATTCTTTTTGTGTTTGTTTTTGCAGGTTGATTATGTTACATTTTGTTGCCATTCTTGGAATGCTTTAAAAGGATTAGTTACTCACTGGTTTGATTCTTTCTCAGTTTTAGTTGTTGGGTTTTAATTACTTATCTGTATTGGAACAATGTTTCTCTGTCACTTGTTTATGGACTGCTTACTTTATTCTCTATTGACTTCTTGCAATTTTTTTTCTTGAGCTATTATTTGTTTTAAGTAAAATGCATTTTTAATGTGATGATAGTGTCACTTTTTGTTTACCAATGTTACAATTCAGAATTTCTTTAGGAAATTTATGATCAAGTGTGTGTGTGTGTGTGTGTGTTTTTACCTGAATTTCCTGTCTATGCATTCAAATAACTCGTTTCATTGTAGGAGATTTTGACCAAATTTTCTTGAATTAGATTAGGTAGGTGATTAATTTTTTAGGTGCTTTGTTCATATAGCGGCTAGGGCTTTTGAGTGTGGCTAGGAGAACTCATATCCTGAAATGTTAGTTGAATAAAATAGTCATATGTTAGCTAATTTTGTGGATAGAACAACCATCACTGGTCATGTATCTCCCGTAGGCATATGAGGTGTTACCCCTTTGAGATCAAATTCATGCACATGCTCTTTTATATTTTTGGCAGATTGGATGATGAGATAGAAACTCTGAACAGCATAACAATAGATGCGACAGCTTTGCAGCTCTTCCTACCTCCCCTACATGTACAAGCCTTCTGCAGTTGTAGTTTGCATAAGAATGCTAAATTGGGAGTTTGATGTGTTGAATGCCATATCATGAAATTTAGGAAAAACATTCAGAACCTTTATAGTGAACAGGGTTTTTCTATGCTGACTTTGGGGCAAGGAAGATAATTTATGTTATGGATGTCCTCAGTTTATTTTTAATGAGGTCAAGCAGCCTATATAGAAATCCTGATGTTCCTTTAAAACAAAATTCTATGCCAGGAATTTTAGGCCTTGTCATTTCTAGGGAATGCAAAATTGTGTTTAAATGAGCATATGTATTTGAGCAACAAGGAGTTGGTGCTTGTTCATCATTAAAATCCCCTTTAAGTGAGACAAGCTGTTTGTGCAACAAGGAGTTGATGAGATTAGGTGGATGATTAGTTCTAGGATGACTTGGTTCCTTAGAGCACCATTTGCAAGGTCAACTTTTCCTTTGAACATGATGAAAAACCGTGAGATTTATTAGGAAATAAAAAGTTAGTATAAGGGAGATGACTACTTAGAGGTTGGTAATTAGGAAGTGTTCATTTAAGTAATTGCTTCGATGAAATTGACCTCCAATAGAGAATATTTACTCAAATGAATCTTATGGAAAATAACCATGTGATTACTTTTTCCTATTGTCATCCAAGAAATCTCTGCCTTTAAAAAAAATATGAGGTAAACAATCAATTTCAGCACACGATTGACACTTGCATTAAGCAGGAGATAAAAGAATCAACATTTTTATTATTATTATAAACCTGAATTGTTGCTAACAATCCAATACCAATTGTCTTGGATTGTCTAGTGTGGAAATGATTTTAAATCATGGTTACAATCATGATTGTGCACCAAGGCCCGTTCCCGGGCATTACATGATCCCATTCCCAAGCATTACCTGGTCGTGTTGGTTGTTGCAGTTGTGAATTATTAGCAACTCTAAGCAAATTTTCAATTATCAACGTATATTTTTATACTTTATAGTAATTCACTTAAAGACATAATAATAGTGCTTGAGGTCGAGTGAAAAGGCAGATTGTCACGGGTATCTGCTATAACCAAATTAAACGAAACAAAACCAACCATTTTTTCAGTATTTTGGGGCGTCTCAATTAAAAATATTCATTTATTTCGGTTCAGTTTCAATTTGACATTTCTAAAAATAAATAAACTAAAACAACCCAAAGTCTATGTGCATTCAATTTTGGATTGTGTTAGTTTGAGTTATCAACCTGAACCTGATTTGGATTGATTCAGCATAAATGAGCATGGTTTCGGTGAAAGGCTTGTCAATAGTTACCTTTTGAAAATGGTTATTAATTGTTTAAGCTAAAAAATATCTGAACCAAACCAGACCAAAACTGATCAATATGTTGGATTGGGTTGGTTTGAAAATTTTAATTTTTTGTTTGGTTTTTATTTTTTTGAAAGCCATACTTTTAGTGATTAAAATATCACAAAATCAATTTAGAATGTCACATAATCTTGTTGATTCTGTCTATAACAAAATTTCAAAAAAAAAAAACATAAAATATTTGAAATGCTTCCCATAAAATCTTAAATAATCCCTTGGATCTCGATTTTATAAGCAAAAATTTAAAGGTTGAAGCTTTATTTTGGTGAAAATACTTGAAGAAACGTGAAAAGTGGAGAATGGTTGGAAGCTAATAGTGGCAAGAGAGAGAAATTAGCTCAAAATGAGGCTCTGATGGCATGATGGCAATTATAATAGCCATAATGGTCGGTAGGATGTGAATTTAAGAATGTTGTTATATTAGCATAATGTGATGATCAATATTATATGATGATAGTCAAATTTGGGGTTGGCTGAAGGCTGGGATTCTGTTGATCAACCAAGTTTGCAGTCAATACTACTACCAAAGCAAATAGGTGGGCGCAGTTTTGATGTTTTCATGGCTGCATCAGTGTTTGTTGTCATGATTGTGAATATAGTATTGTTGAGCATCCGAAGTGTTATGTAGCAGTTGTGCCAGACATGAATTGGTATCAAATCAGAATTTTCTTCAATGTAGTAAAATTAAATGTTTCACTATAAACTTACTTGTGTAGCATCTTTAATAATGCTTGTTACTATGTAAATATTGTTATATGTGATACAAGCACGATTCCCTTATCATAGCTCCATAAATTAATTATGAGCCATCTAATTGCAGTGTCAAATAACAACTGCTCTTTAATTCATCATCCCACTTGAACCTAGATTGGGTAGCACTATTTCAACTTAAGAAAATACACTCATTAGTATTGAAATCCTAACATGCAAAAGAAATGTTAGCTATAGAAATGTTAAATCTGTGGCGAAGTTGGCAACCATTGGATACCGATGATATTGTCTTTTACTGAAAAATGAAATTAACTATAGATTTGATGATAATGATGACGGTGATAGTAGCTATGATTAGCTATGATTCCCTTATCATAGCGCCATAAATCAAATATGAGCCATCCAAAGTCAAATAATAACCTTTATGTGATTCATCAACCCACTTGAACCTAGATTGGGTAGCCCTATTTCCACTTAAGAAAATACGCTCATTAGTATCGAATCCCAACATGTCAAAAAAATGTTAAACCCTTGGTGAAGTTGGCAATCATTGGATACAGATGATATTGTCTTTTATAGAAAAATGGAATTAACTATAGATTTGAAGGTAATGATGGCAGTGATAGTAAGTTAATTATTCAATGTGTCGTGAAATCATGGTTGCAGGTGCTGTCTACGTTTGTATCATGTTTCCATGGGTTCTATTTCATGTATGTGAATGGTTAAAAATATCAAATGTTGTGCGCATACACTGATCTAATAATTTGTCCATGACAATTATATGCAGACAACATTATAATAATAACAATCCCAAATTGGTCCATGACAATTATATGCAGACAACATTATAATAATAACAATCCCCTTTTTAAAATGAGGTGCTATATATGGTTCGTTAAAAATATGAGGCATTATGGCTATGTATCAAAAATCACAATTGCGGCATTGATTCATCTTGTTGAACCATCCATATAATTTCAGGGGATTGCTTGTACATATGGAAACTTTGTAATAGAAACATGTATGCTAGTGACATAGAGGTTGCCCTAGTTGGAGTGTTTATTGTTTTGGATTAGGGTGTGATTCTATTTTAAGGTTAGGCTATGATGATTTATTTCCCCTTGATACCTCTAGTCCTAGCATAGATTGTATGCTTCTGACCAAACTAGGGAGGGGGACGTTGCCTTGATTTGTGCAAGCTTGGCCAAGGATACCACTAATTGCTAAATTACAAATTAAGAAAATAGAAATGTGTATGGTTTTGTTGTATTGCTTTGGAGTATCTTGGTATTCAAGCTTGTCGTATATAATTTTGGATAAGCTAGGCAATTTCATTCTTAACTATCTATGAAAATTTTTGCTCATGTTCTTTGACTTGAGCACCCTAATTCGCAGAATTTAGTATTTACTTCTCCCCCTATCCCATAATAATTTTTTCCTTGGTTTTATTTTGATTAAAAATTCAAAAAAAAATGTTATAAAAAATCTGAATTGAAACTTTCTAAATTTTGATTTTTTAGATTTGAAACCGATAAAAATTTCAAAAATAATTGGTCAAAGTGAAATTCAGTTGGCTTTTTGAAACTGTTGACAGCCAATTATTATGAGAGAGTATGAAATTAAACCTTGTGATATTCAACTCAAGATATATCCTATGTATTGTATAGTAGTGATCATTCCCGTATCAGGTGTGTTAATTCTGTTTGTTAAGGTATTAACTTGTTTCAATTTTTTTCTAGCATGATTCATTGAGCTAAAGCGATAAGTTTATCAACATTTTTTATTCTAGACATGATCAACATGTAGTATATAAGCATTGAGCATTCTAAACATGGTTTCAGAAGACTCATATTCTCCCACTTTATTGCCTATCCTTTTAAGGCCTGAGGATCTCAGTTGTGGAAAATATACCAAATTTGGGATTATCGCACTACACACACATTAGTGGTTCTCTAGAATTCCATAATGGATATCGTACACTTTTTTGTAGAACTTAAATGTTTTTTTTTAATGCACGTGTTTCATCTTTTACTGCCTTTATTCCATCATGGTTGGCATAATTTGCTTCACAAACTAAGTACTTGTCCTTTTGCTGCAGGGAGGGAAACAAATAAAAGATCATTTGGGTAAGGCAGGAAATTATACTGAACATGAGTGAAGCAAACCAAGGGAATAATCCTGATGCTTCAGCAATTGTTCCTCTGAAACGCAGGCGTGGTCGTCCACGCAAGTACCCTAAAATGGAGGTTGATCATGAGGCGAATGCACATGTTCCAGGGATTCAAAATCTAAACCATGGAGAGAATGCTCATGCTCCTCCTGGATTTGGAGTGGTCAATAGTAATCAGCCACATCAAGTAGGTCCAGTTAACAATGCAATTGATGCCATGATAGACCAGTCAGTGTATGGTGTCATAGAAGCAACATTTGATGCTGGATATTTGCTGAATGTTAGGGTTGGTGATACAGAAACCACTTTGAGGGGTGTTGTTTTTAAGCCTGGACATCACATCCCTGTTAATCCAGAAAATGATATTGCCCCAGATGTTCCAATGATCAGAAGGAATGAGATTCCCCTTACAAGAGAAAGCAATAATCAGGTACACACCCGTAAGCCTGGGCCTAGAGGTAGAAATGGAACTGCTCATGCTGACCATGCTGATCCAGTTGGCTCAAAAGGTAAGCAGGTGCTTTCAGTGGTACCCCAAACTCCTACAATATCAAGAGGCAATGTAGTTCCTGTTGTACTTCAGCCAGTCAATCTATCAAATGGTGCCACAAACCAAACTGCCCATCTGGTGCCTTCAAAAGGCAAGCAGGTTCTAGATGCTGCTCATTCATCAAATGGATTAACACCAACAAATGAGATTATACAATTTCAATCTCAAAATAACCACCAGGTGATAACAAGTCCATTAAATCAAAATCCAGCAGGGGGACTACATGAATCAGAAGCCAGCCCGCTGAAAACAACTCATATGCCTTTTGAGAAACTGTTAACTGAAGTCATCAGGAGGGTTCATGCTCCATCACAATCAACAGAGACTAATAGCAGCTTAGCTGAGAAACTGTTAACTGAAGTCATCAGGAGGGTTCATGCTCCATCACAATCAACAGAGACTAATAGCAGCTTAGCTGTTAACTTGCTTGTGGAAGATTCTGGTATTGTGGAAAAAAAGGATGGCAGTGACACAGAACAGGCCCTGTCTGTTAAACCGCTGCAAGTTTTACAGCCTATTGTTGACAGCCATCCTGCAGTTGCATCTATACCTTCTGAGGACTACAAGACTGGAAAAATGACTCAGCTCTTGCAGGTAAAATAATTGTTCAATTATCTGTCATGTACCAAGATCAATGACTTGTTATTGACATTGAACCTTAAGAAGGTTTAGCAGGAAAACATGACATTCTGATGGCTCAGACTGAGGAGCCAGCTGCGGGTTCCAGATTGAACTAGATAATTTGAAAAGCCCAGAAACCGAGGTTGGAAGTGAATGGAGTAGTATTTCTAAGATCAGGGCATGGGCAGATGGTGTACCTGCTGCTTCTGGACTATCTGACATGTGTCCCGAGAATAAATTGCTAGACTTGTACAATTCTATAGATAATTAGCGTCATAAACCAGGTAGAGGCCACAGAAGATCCATCTTTGCTTGAAAGTGGGAGGCTTAGTGTCTCCTCAAAGACTTTAATTTATTTTTTCTTTACAGTTATAAAGGAAACCTAGGTGCTTGTTAGCATTTGGAATTGTAATTTATTCACAGTTTGAATTGAAGGATAGCTTCTTATTAGACATTTATACAGCCTCAGTTTTTATCCTTGTATCATCTATGCCTGCTTTTAGCTGTGCTAGTGCCAGGTAGACTTTGCTAAAAGCGATCTTGCAGGGTAAACGGGAAGATACGGGTGAGCAAAGATTTAGCAAGGAGAATTTTAAATAGGTGAGGAAAATTAAGGCCTGTCCCTGTGGTGTCTTAATTCACTCGTTTTAGTGAGGTGGCGCAGTGTTGGTGTTTCAGGAACTGCATGATCTGTAAGTATTCATCTGGAGTAAAATGCATTGTAAGCTGTTCACATTAGGAAATTTGGGTACCAAGAGTAATATTCCAGGTTGAGGTTCTCACTGGATAGAAATTTTATGTTATTCAAAAGAGCTACTAATAATATTGATTCCATGACAAGAGGAGAGAGGAACAAAAGGGAAGAGATGACATTGTAATTTCCATGAAAATAAATCTCCAGTGATATAAAATCTCTCACTTCTCACTCAAATGATGGTAAACTTGCTTCTACGGATTGTAAACAAGGATGCCTGCACCTAGGCCGATGGAAAAGGTGACGCTCAACATTTTCCAGAAACAAAAACAAATCAGCAATAATCTGCACTACATGAACCCCAAAACTGTTGCTAAATTAAGCCAAAAATGAAATGAATTATCCTGCCGACTTTTTGTATCAGAACCTTGTAGCTGTTGCCGCTGTCTCAATATTGTGTACACTTTACACCTTTGGGCCTGTATTATCACCTTTCAAGATGCGATTCTTCCTTCTACCGGGGGGGAACTTCTCATAATTCTTCGCCAAAACAGAAAACCACCCCTACATCATGTCTTACAGCATGGATCATCAAATAAAAAATCTCTCAAATCAGGTTTCACAAGCAATCATTGAAATGAGTTAGACCCTGAAAATGAGGGATGAAAATAATTGCCTATTGCTCAATGTTTTTCAGTAGAACTATGGATCAAAATTTTGTTGTTTACGAAAACAAATCTTGATTTCACTATGGAATATACTCATGGAAACTTGGTATTGAAAAGAGTATTGGATCCTGGGACTGGAATGGGGTGAATTGCAGGGATAGGTGGCTGAAGAAAAGGAATATGGCTTGGCATTACAAATGGTTGGTGGCCACCAGCTACAAAAGGTGGAGCCACACAGAGCTGCAAGGTTTGGCCAGCTGCACTTCCTGCAATATCCGAAAAAAAAATTCAAAGACTCGGTAAACAGGCACAGAAAAACATAGAGATGCTGAGACTTAGCACTGCCACTATAATTACATTATGCTCAAGAAATATTTTTCTTCATTTTCTTTCTGTGTGTTTTGCAAGTGGGTGGGGTGTGTGAATATGTTGGAGCTCTAAAACAAGCACCAGCAAGAACATAATCACCTTCCATATATTTGATTTTTAGTGTTAAATTTAAGTTTTCTCATTAAATCGAAACTCAAAGTAATCAGTTTCTCAAATGGTTGTGCACATATTGATTATCATTGCACATAATGATTATCAACCCCTTGCGGACATTGACAGAGGTTGGAATTTTCAACATTAATTTTTGAAACAGTTATCCTGACTTGCTAGCCTAGCAGTTAGGTTGTCCCTTCATGTATTCAGTAACATAAAAAATCTAAGCTTGCTTGGAATATGCAGCCTCATTGATGGCAGCAAGTGCAATGGCAAACCTTTGAAACCAGAATCTCTTGCAATATAGCACATGAAAAATTCCAACCAATAAAAGGAATACCTTTCTCATACCTTGGTGTTTAGGATATTGGACTTGGTGAGGAGTTGACATAGGACGTGCAGATACAGATGATATGGCTGCTGCGCTTGGAACCAAATCCTTTCATGGTACAAATGCAATGAAACAATCAGAGAAATATAGCATGTATTTAATCTACTTGGATAAGAACTCCAGGGAAGTGAAGAAATTAAAAGCTTGAGATGACTTGAAATGCAAGAGGATCAGCTCCAACAATAAAAAAAATGACAGAAGTGTTGAAAAAGAGAAAGAAGTTATGCATGAAAAACAAGAAAATAAGCCTGCCACTAGACCTTCATGATATACATGCAAGATTCCATAAGTTACGAATAATTGCAATTTCCTACACATAATATAGCATATTTATAATCTTAGCTAATTAGCAATCTAGCTTCAGATCAGTGACACACACAAGCATTCTTCTATTATAACATGGCTAATATAAAAGCATCCATGTTAAGAGTAGCATGGTGTTACACTGGTTGAAGAAGCCAACTATATAGATAATTAGAAAAGTAAATCACAGTAGGATGTTAAGAATTAGTATGAAGCTTAGAAGCACTGCTCAAGGCTGATTCTAGAAACTATCTCGAGATCAGATAATGACTTAAAACCGTCCTCCCCATAATGTAGATTAAATTGCTTCCTAGCACAGTAATAGTTAAATACAAGCTACAACACCCAGAAACTACATGTTAGTTGTATCTGTAACTATCAAACATCAGAGTGCTTTAATTATTTCATGTTGCAGATCCGGTATCTTACATGAGAAACTGGCTGAATATACATGAGCTGCCCCAGTTGTCCAACCATAACCTTGAGAAACAGAGAGCCAGATTAGCGACCAGATTAGAAAATAAAGTTACAAATCTCCAAATCCAACAATAAAACAACGGAGCACCAGAAATAAACTGCCCAAAGGATATCACGTGAATCTTCCTTCTACTTACAGATTGAGAATTTGGAGGCACAAATGCTGGTGCTGCCTGAACAGCATGATACTGACCAGAATATCTAAGTGGCTGTGGCTGTGGCTGTGGCTGTGCTCTGCTTCCCATGTGTCCAACAACCTATAGCCAAAATGAAACCCTTTGAGAACTAATGGAGGGTTCCTCTCTTGACAATTAGTCATTTAGTTTAGCTTGGGCTAGTTCAACCAAAAAAATATTCCAAGAGCTGACCATAAAGTTCCCTGATTTTTCTAGTGACTTGAATAGATATGAGTTACTAAATAAGCAAGAAACTAAAAGTTAGCTAACACATACAGGTTGCAAAAATTGAGAACCACTGCCACCATTTACAGCTGTCAAGTTGCTATAGGGGGGATACTTAGCAGGGACAGATGAACGAGGTGCAAAAGGGATCCCAACTTCTGGCTGGACAGCAGCAACAGGTACCGCTGGAGAGTTGCTTGGTATGTAAGCCATGTTTGCAGCTGTTGGCACTGCTGGAGCAGAAGCTGATATAGGATTGGAAAAAGATGGAGAGAAAGTTTTTGCTCCTGGATTGAGTTTGAATGCCTGAAAGAAAATTAATGTCAAAAACATCACCATGATTATAAAACTGAACTTGCAAATATTCCAAAATTCCTAGGAAACTACAATGTAATCTAAACCCAATGATTTCTACCAATGCTTGTGGTATAGATTATAAACTATACCCGATATGAATTGCAGTAACTATTCAACAAAATACTTCAGTTTACTCATAAAAATTGCTGGTTCAATAAATTATATGATTCACTGACGAGACAGCCAGTGACCTGATGACTGCCATATAAATTTGACAGTAAAAGGAGGTGAGATGACACAGAGGTAGGTACCAAAAGGTAAAAACAAGGTTCTTGCCTTGGAGCTTCTATTAGATTCTGAGATTCGTGGAGAGACTGCATCAGTAGAATTTGCTAATGAACTACAGAGTGATTCTGAAGGAACATCAACCGTTGGATTGGAAGAAGTTGAAACACTTGCACAAACAGCAATAGGAGAAGTGGTTCCCACAGAAGCAGGCCTTCTACAATATTGATTGTCTGGCTTCATAAGCTTGCCAGGAGAATTACAAGATACATCGTTAGGCAACAGCTTCACTGTTACTCTCCCTTCTGCAACGGGTTTTGCTTCACTGAGGTGAGGCCCTGCTGCATGTTAGCAAAATAAGCAATTAAAACAAGAATCAAAACCAACAAAAGCATTTAAAAAAATACAAGACAAAATCAGGGATTAGTGGTAAGCTTAGCAATTTACGGAAAAACTATGGCCTAGGTGCATCTCAACATAGGGCCTTGTAATAATAAAAAAAAAAATCAGAAAATGGCATGCAACCACTAAATTCGCATGAATGTTATGTACAATATGATACAATTGATACAAAAGCCCAAAGCCACGAAACGAAGTCTTATATACATAATGAGTATTTTATTACAAACATATCCACTGGTAGTATCAGAACTATTCACTACTGAAAGAATGCATGCCTCCTCTTCTACTTTCTTTTCGTGAAAGAAATTCACAATATTAAGGCAGACCTGTCTACTAAGTTATGAACAAGTAATTAGACCCAGAGATGGAAATTGAACTTACTGATTGCCTTTGGGCTATGAACTTCATTAGCCTGCAAAAATCAATTGCACAAGTAAAAATTTACATCAAACACTCAATAGACAAATAGTTTCCACTTCTACAAACATAGGGCATTAAGCAAAGAAATAAACTATGTCTGTCAAGACATACACTCTTTTCCCTTTGAAACTCAAACTTATGTTTATAGAGATCCTGCTCCCCCTGTGACCGGTCTTCTCCAGTCTGCCTGTCAGAAAAAAATAATGGACAGGAATCTGAAAGTTAGAAGGAATTTCATATAAGAAAATAATTTAAACTTAGTAAATATCACTTGAAACTTGGAAAAGGCTGGTAATTTAATTTATACCTTCCATTAACTGATTCACTGGAAGAAGCTTCTCTCTTCATACACAAAACAGAAATTAAAAAAGTTAAAAAGAAAAGAAGTGAAAAGTGTACCTATATCTCTTCCTCACACACAAGCATCTTAAATAATGTATCCCTGCTACATATATTAATTACCACTGACTCATTTATCCAGTAATTGAAAGGATTCCCTTCAAGCCATGTGCCAATCCATCAAATCATCCAAACCATCAATTAGATGCATCCTAGGTAGCAT